TTCACCAGAAGGCAACTCCGCAACGGACTTGTCAGCACGATCAGACAACCGCCCTGGAACAGCGATCAGCAGCTCATCCTCAGAGTCACCTGAAGTTGATCCTGTATCAGAATCAGAACAATCTTTTATGGTTGGCAACTTCTGAAATGGATCCCCTGACTGGGTGAGTTCCCCTCTAGGGTCAAGAACCAACATTTTCCGGTTCAGCCATCTTTCCGGACCTCCTAGAGCAGGCCTAACAGCATACAAGTCCTTCGCAGAATTGCGCTTCACGACTATGTACTGTTCCTCACAGAAGTGGTTGCTTAGCTTATGGCGATCTGTGAATGCACACCGCTTCACTAATACCCTGCTCCCAATCGGAAGAGGGCTCGCCTGGGCTAGCTTGTCATAGCGCTGCTTATTAGCCGCTGCTGCGCTGATCATACGATCCTTAACCAACTTGTGCGCACGCTTTAGGAATGTTGCTTGCTGCTGAGCAACATTCTCGCTCCAACTCTTGCCCGTATTGCTAATGAGCTGATCAAGAGGTACGAGAGGTTCCCTACCGAACATTAGTGTATATGGCGCAAAGCCAGTTACACAATGGGGTGTACTGTTGTACATAAAGACAAGGTACGGAAGCAGTTCTGGCCACTTGCTCCTACTATGACTATCCAGCGACTTTATAAGACCACACAAAGTCTTATTGAACCTTTCGGTCTGCCCATTTCCTTGCGCATGGTAAGGGGACGTTCTGGTCTTCTTGATACCATACAAGTCACAAATCTCCTGTACCAGGTGACTCTCGAAATTCCTCCCTCTATCTGAATGGATTTGTGCAGGGACCCCATAACGTGTGAACCATTCGTCCCGCAGGACTCGAGCAACCGTAGGTGCCGTCTGGTCCTTGCAAGCTACAGCCACCGCAAACTTGGTGAAGGAATCGGTCATCACCAAGACGTCCTCGTAATTACCATGACCGCGGTCAAGCTTTAGGAAATCAATCGCCAACCTCTCGAGTGGGCGAAACGCAAGCAGATGTCTCATCGGTGGACGTACTGTTGGTGTTGGAGCCTTAGAGACTGTGCAGTGATAACAGTTACGGATGTGCTCCCGCACATGGCAACTCATCCCCGGCCAGAAGCAACGCCTTCTAATGAAATTAAGGGTCCTGCCAACCCCTTGGTGGCCCCACTGATCGTGTGACGCCTCAAGAATAACCCTTCGCAACCTCTTTGGAACTAAGAGCTGAGTCACCTGACCAAGTCCGGGGTCCTCAACAGACCTATATAGCACACCCTTACACTCTATCAAGCGTGACCACTCTCGGACCCATCCTTTTACCTCTGCATTAGAGCTATCAGCATCAGCGTGACCTTGCCCAGGGTCCCAGCGGCGATTCCAAAGACCCCACACAACTCCAAGGGCCTCATCTTGTTTCTGCATTGTCGCCAAGTCAGAGTGGGAATATGATGGGAACACCGAAGGTGTCACCAAGGGAGCGTCATCATCAGATGCGCTCACACCTCCTGCACAATCGGAATGGCCTGCTGAGGCAGGCCTCAGCTCTACGGGGACAGAGGTACTTTCCGCTGAAGTTTGAAACACACACGCCGCCCCAACATCAGTCACCTCAGGGGGGTTCCGACTGAGTGCATCAGCACATTTATTACTTCGACCTGATCGATATCTTATCTCTAAGTCGAACGGGGCCAACTGAGCAGCCCAACGTTGCTCAGTTGCACCTAGTTTGGCTGTCTGCAAGTGGGCAACAGGACTGTTATCAGTCAAAACCAGTGTATGCCTACCCCAAAGATACTCTCTGAATTTCTCTGACACAGCCCACTTTAGGGCAAGAAGCTCTAGCTTAAAGCTAGAGAGGTCGGAATAATTTCTTTCCGCTCCCCTGAGCCCTCTGCTGGCATATGCTACGGGGTGAAGACAACCCGAATCGTCGCGTTGGGATAGACATGCCCCGAGTCCCTTAAGGGACGCGTCAACTTCAAGCACAAAGTCCCTGTCAAACTGAGGGTAGGCCAAAACTGGTGTACTGCAAAGCGCGCTCTTCAAGGTCTGAAAGGCTTCATCAGCTTCCTCTGACCAAGGCAGGGTCCCCCTAGAGTTCCCTACTTTTTCTGGGGCCTTGCCGCTCAGTGCATGCAGGGGTGCTGCAATTTTTGCAAACCCCTGCACATAGCGCCTATAGTAGGACGCTAGTCCCAGAAATGAACGAAGCTGATCAAGGTTAGTTGGAGTCGGCCAGTCTCTGACTCTCTCGATCTTGGTAGGATCTACAGCAATACCCTGGTCACTGACAATGTGACCAAGGTGGGTAACGGATGTGCGGAACAACTGACATTTAGTGCCTTTTAACTTCAGGCCATGGGTCTCAAGCCTACTGAACACTTTGTCCAACCTCCTTAAATGTTCCTCGAAAGTATCCGAGAAGACGAGCAAATCATCCAAGTACAATACACATTCTGAAAGGTTCATGTCGCCAAAGATCAGCTCCATGATCCTTTGAAAAGTACTTGGACTGTTGCAGAGCCCCTGGGGAAGACGAAGGAATTCGTACAACCCCCAAGGCACTCTAAACGCAGTCTTGGCTACCGAGTCAGGATGCATGGC